CAGCTGCCCGTATCCTTTAGGCATCTTATATTGCCCGAAAAAAATATGCCACCCACGGAGCTGCTGGACTTACAACCGCTACCCATCAGCGCTCTGCGTCAGCCTAAATTTGAGGCATTCTATTCGCAACGTTTCCCGCAATTCAATCCCATACAGACGCAGGTCTTCAATGCGGTCTACAACAGCGATGAGAATGTATTTGTAGGCGCGCCCACGGGCTCTGGCAAAATGACCATTGCCGAGTTTGCCATAATGCGTTTGTTTAGCCAAAGCAGCGATGGGCGTTGCGTCTATCTGGTGTCCCAAGAGGCGCTTGCCGATCTAGTCTTTGCCGACTGGCATACCAAGTTTGGCGGTCTGGATATCAAGGTAGTCAAATTGACTGGTGAAACGGGCACGGATCTAAAGCTAATAGCGAAAGGACAACTGGTTATAACCACAGCGGATAAATGGGATGTGCTGTCGCGTCGCTGGAAGCAGCGCAAGAATGTGCAACAGATAAATCTGTTTATCGTCGACGAACTGCAACTGGTGGGTGGAGAGGAGGGACCCGTTATGGAGATTGTCTGCTCCCGCATGCGTTACATTAGTTCACAAATCGAGAAGCAGATACGCATTGTAGCACTATCCGCATCTCTGACAGATGCACGTGACGTTGCCCAGTGGCTGGGCTGCAATCCAAATGCCACATTCAACTTTCATCCAAGCGTACGGCCCATACCACTGGAGCTGCACATACAGGGCTTCAATGTTACCCACAATGCCACACGCATTGCGACCATGTCCAAGCCCGTCTACAATGCGATACTCAAGTATAGCTCTCACAAGCCCGTAATTGTGTTTGTTTCGTCGCGTAAACAGGCGCGTCTTACAGCTATTGATATACTGACGTACGCTGCCTCGGATTTGCAGCCGAATCGCTTTTTCCATGCCGAAGAGGATGATATACAGCCCTTCCTCGAACGCATGTCGGACAAGACTCTTAAAGAGACTCTCGCCCAAGGCGTCGCCTATCTGCACGAGGGCTTGTCTGCGTCGGATCACCGTCTAGTCGAGCAGCTGTTCGATTCGGGCGCAGTGCAGGTGGCTGTTGTCTCTCGCGACTTGTGCTGGGGCATGAGCATCTCGTCGCACCTCGTTATCATCATGGACACACAATTCTACAACGGCAAAAATCATTCGTATGAGGATTATCCCATTACGGATGTGCTGCAAATGATTGGACGTGCCAACAGGCCCAATGAGGATGCGGATGCCAAGTGTGTGCTAATGTGTCAGAGCTCCAAGAAGGATTTCTTCAAGAAATTCATCAACGAGCCGCTGCCCATCGAAAGTCATTTGGATCATCGCATGCACGATCATTTCAATGCTGAGGTGGTCACCAAAACCATTGAGAATAAACAGGATGCAGTCGATTATTTAACGTGGACATTCCTCTATCGGAGATTAACCCAGAATCCCAACTACTACAATCTGCAGGGCGTAACGCATCGTCATTTGTCCGATCATCTGTCGGAGCTCGTTGAGAACACGCTCAGCGATCTGGAGCAGTCCAAGTGCATTAGCGTTGAGGATGACATGGACACGCTGCCCTTGAATTTGGGCATGATTGCCGCCTACTACTATATCAACTATACGACAATTGGTAAGTCTTAGACTGGACTGGTAGTTCACAAATCTAATCTATCCATATTACCTGCAGAGCTCTTCAGTTTGTCGTTGAATAGCAAAACCAAAGTGCGCGGTCTGTTGGAGATCATTTCATCAGCAGCAGAGTATGAGGACGTGGTGGTGAGGCATCACGAGGAGCAGGTTTTACGCACACTCTCCCAGCGTTTGCCCAATAAACTAACTGGGCCCAATGAAACAGCACCCAAGTAAATATGTCAGCTTATCTTCAAATTAAAATGTTTTAATAAACTTTCGTTTTTCAGATTCAATGATCCTCACATTAAAACAAACTTGTTGCTTCAGGCGCATCTGTCACGTCTGCAGCTAGGACCAGAGCTTCAGGGCGACACTGAGCAGATACTCAGCAAAGCTATACGCCTGATACAGGCCTGTGTGGATGTGCTAAGCTCTAATGGCTGGCTGTCTCCTGCTGTCGCTGCCATGGAACTGGCACAGATGGTTACTCAGGCCATGTGGAGCAAGGATTCGTATTTGCGGCAGTTGCCACACTTCAATGCAGACATCATAAAGCGCTGCACGGATAAGGTAATAATAACGTACTTAAATACGAGCTTGTCTATAAATTGTACTTTCCTGCAGAAAATTGAAACTGTTTTCGATATAATGGAGCTCGAGGATGAGGATCGCATTCGCCTGCTACAGCTGTCCGATGTGCAAATGGCCGATGTGGCGCGTTTCTGCAATCGTTATCCCAACATTGAACTCAACTACGAGGTGGTTGATAAGGATCGCATCAATTCTGGTTCCACGGTCAATGTTGTAGTGCAGCTAGAGCGCGAGGATGAGGTCACCGGCCCGGTTATAGCGCCATTCTTCCCGCAGAAACGTGAGGAGGGCTGGTGGGTGGTCATTGGTGATCCCAAAACCAATTCACTGCTCTCCATTAAACGACTTACGCTGCAGCAAAAGGCTAAAGTCAAGCTTGACTTTGTGGCGCCCAGCCCAGGCAAGCATGATTATACGTTGTACTATATGAGCGATTCCTATTTGGGCTGCGATCAGGAATATTCATTCTCCATTGAAGTGGGCGATTTTCAATCGGAAAGCGAAAGCGAATCCGACTAAGCCCAACAACACCAATCACCCTAACGAACCAATAAAACTAAAACACAAACATTTTATCAAAATGACGGTTGCTCGATGTATTTCGGAGTTTGCGAACACTGGTTAATGACAACTAAATGGTAAGCAAATAAGGCATAATAAGCCGTTACGTATGTGTTGGTAAATTATCATAGTATTATTTTCGACGCGGCCATGTTATTGGTTTTTTTTTTACGATATTGTAAGAGATGTATAAATAGGGAAAAATAACCTGAATTTAGTTGAAAATCGACTATACATAATTGCACATAGATTCTTCGTAACATTGAATACCTTCACTGTGGCATAGCATTATCCACTAACGGATACAGCTCCACCATGGCTGTTGGCACTGTTGCCAAATCCACTATTGGCGAAATTATTTGTGGAGGCAAAATTAATGGTCTGGCCGTTGGGCAGCTTGTAGACTTGACTGTGTGAGGCGCCCGCAGAGTTGCTGTTGCCAAATGGATTCAAATTCTGCGATTGGGTAGCCGTGCTGGCAGAGGATGCACCAAATGAACCAAGTGCACTTTGCGACTGAAAGCCCTGTGCCTGTGCATTGGCCGCCGATGAGCCGGAATCGAAGCCATTGTTGAAGTTGCTATTAGCCGCCCCATTGGAGGCCGACTGCTCCTGGTTGTAGCCATCAGGTCCCAGGGGACCAAGTGGATTGAGGTTCACATTGGCATCGGCAGTGCCGCCATTTGGACCAGCACCCACATTAACGCCGCTATTGGTGCCGCCGGCCTGGGTGCCAACTTGTGCATTGCCGGCAAATCCACCACCAAACCGCCCACGTCCAAACTGACGTTTCACTCGCTTGTGTTCAGCATAGATTTCATGCAGCGTGTCGTCTAGCGCGGATCGGACGCGTCTGACATTCTGACGCGCCTTGGGCTTAATGTGCAGACTCGACTCTAGGACTACCTCCTCGATGGTGGCGCCTTTCGGAGCTGTTAGGTGTTAAATCAAATAAGTATTCTTTACAATATCAGTCGATTATAGTTTGATACTTACGCAATCCCTCCTGAACCTGCTTCTCGTTGCGCTGCCTCAGCTGCGGCGCCGCTGACGTCGCTGCTAGGCAAACGGCTACAAAGATTAGCATACAAATTGACAAATTCATCGTGTTTTGTTAATCGCTTTAAATGAACACTTCCAAACGTTCAGGGCACGTCCAACAGCTACGCAGCACCACAGACGACTGTTCGAAGCTGCGCGCGCCGATTGCGGTTTATTCCACCAAAACTCTCACTTTTCAAACGTCTGGGGGCACCCCCTGTTAGTTCGAAGTGCTAATTACGCTTAAAAATATTTAAATGTTTCTAGCCAATAGCTGTCTCAGCATATCATAATCGATTTTTGGCACATGTAACAAAACATAAGACGTACAACACACCAAAAGACAAAGGTTTAAACAACTTTTTGTATAATGAAACGAGAGAGAAAAGAAACGTCTACAAAAGCCGTAACCGGTTTTCGTTTTTTTTTTCTTTTGTTTTTTCAAAGCTCATGCAGGAACTAGTTTGATTTCGTTGATGCTGCTTTTGGTTGGGCGACTTATTGAATTTCCTTTTCGGGAACAGATGATGCCCAGATTTCGTGTGTGTTTGTGTGTGTCTGGTTGTAGGCTGGGTTTGGGGGAGACGAAATCTTCTGACGGCGCAACCCAGTGAACTTTTCAATTGGGATTGCGCAGCTGTTCGTAATTTGAACTTAAAATAGTGTGTGGGATTGATATGTTTATATATAAATGTATAATGACCTGGTAAGCGGATTTCCTGAAATTGGACAAAACATAGTTTTCACTTGTCATGTAGGCATTGTCGGTTTGATTTTGATCAATCAGATGATCACGTATTGCAAATATTGTTTTTGAGTCGTAGCTTTTAGTTCCTACATCAGCTGCCAAACGCCATGGATACCCAATGCTCTTCATATTAATGGCAATTCAATACAAATTGTGATGTTTGGAATTTTTTAAATTGTTTTAATTAAATTACACATTAAGTAAATTTTAAAGATCCTTAAATAAAAGACACAATTAATTAAAGACACATATTCTGTGCATCGAGCGCGTTTAAGTGACAAATAACAAAATTTGTTTGCTGAGATCGCTTAATTAAAAACTTATTTTGCTACACACGTGAGTGCGTTTAAATGGAATATGTACGTACATATATCATGAACTATGTGTATATGGAAATAAAGTTAAATATAAATTTCAACTTGAGATTCGTCATGAGGCGCTTTTTATAGTAGTGAAAGTGCTTTTGAGATTAACTTAACGCTACAATGATTAATATGACAAATGTGTTTTATGCTTAGGCTTATGCATTAGATCAAGGAAACAACAAAACTGAGCACTGTTTGACATACATTAAGTATTTAGTTAAATGTAGTTGCCGTATGGTTAATGCCTATTCGATGCCATGCGCAAATATCATAACCAGGCCCGGCTCGACCATCACATCCTCAGTCATGTGAACATTGTCACAGCTGAGCACAAGCACTGCCTGTTTGCCTGCAATAAAAAAACCTTTTATTAGTCAGGGAAACAGTTGCAGGTTAATTTGCTGATCAATAAACTCACCTGGTATGCGGCGGCATATGTAATTGTCGTAGATGCGTCGATTGTTTTGACGCGTTTCCAGTGAGCTAAGACCCCGGGGCCAGCGCCGTTCGTGGCAGTTCTCCATTAGGCTATCCAGTATGTGTGGTGGGCAGCCAGACTCCGACAGGGCGCGTTTGATCATTAGCTGTAAAATTCCAGCGGTTAGTTATGTCAGTTAGTTGCTGCTGTGGACGCAGTTCCTCTTACCTGCAGCGCATCGTCGGGTGTGGAAATCATGCCACCCCAGCGTGTAACACGCGCCCTGGCCAAGGCGCTGCTCCAGCGTATCACCTCATCGCGTTCCATTTGATCGGCAATGGCACGCATTGCCGGATTTGAGACGCGCATGGCACGCATAAAATCTTTGAATAATTGCAGTTCACGCTTTAGCTCATTGATGGTTAGCTGTTGATCAGTTATTTCTGTCTTGAGTTGGCCAATTTGTTCAGTTTGTTTGACAATTAACGCGCGCAGCTCTCGTACACAGTTGTGATCCTTAAGCTCGTCCTTGGGTATGTCAAAGCCACAACCTTTTTCACAGGGAAACGGCCGCTTCGGATTGTGGACGCAATCTTCCAAATGCGAATTGTAGGCATCCAACTTTAGCACAGCCGTGCAGCCATAGGGCGCATTGTCACAGGTAATCGACAGTCTATAAAATTCCACATTACCTTCTTTTATAAAGTACACATATGTGTGGGCGACCTACCTGGACAACAAGTTGCGCAATATGCGCGGCACTGCTCGCAAATTCGCGGTAGTTAGTGCATTGCGATCTACGGGACATGTGGGCTGGCGTGTTAGCCATTCATTAATACAGCCACGGCAGAAGGCGTGTTCGCACATGACCGCCTGTGGAATATTTAAAGCACCAAATGAAAAGTGTTTTGGGTTGGTTTTTCTTGTTATCAAACCTGCAGCGGATCCTCCAGAACACCAGAGCATATGGGACATGTTAGCTCCTCGTCCACTTCGCCTTGGAAGCGATTGACATCATAGCCCATTGCAAGATTTAATTAATTTCAAGCTACATTAAAATTTCTTCAGCTTAGGTTGCAAAATCTTTTTTACTGCGCTTGTCTTGTTTAAGTGCTGGCTAAAGTAAACTTTTAGTGTTGCAAACTACAAAATGTGTCTCAGCTTATCGATGACTCGATAAGAAAATATACTTTTTTATGTTCTAAAATTATCGATAAAATAATACTGAAAAAACGTCTCAACGAGGCAAATTTAAAAAAGCGTACTTCTTTATTCAAAATATTGCCCAGCCAACTATAGAAATTGTTATTGTAATATTGAATTCATACTATATCTGTTTAATGATCTGTGCTTTGTATAAAAATACTGAGACTATGCTAGCTTTGGCATTAAGCTAGAAAAATTCGTCAGGTGGTAGAAAAGTACAACCATAAATTAAAAACTAACACGAAACGAACTACAAATGACAACAAATAACGTGTATTTATATCTACATAGCCCTTGCTAGATTTCATTTCGATCCTTCCAGCCATACTTCTGCTTCTGTGGCTTTTCCTTGCTATTCGCGTACCTATTTCCATTAAAATTAGTCGATTTGCTAGGAGCACAATAACATGAACGCTGCTGCGAATCCAAATACGCTTTACAGCCTAGTGTTAGTGTGCCTGTGAAGAGCATCTTGGCGGCCGCCTTGCAGCCCTTGGTCATCAAGTCGCTGGCAATAGACTTCTCAAAGCTGTCGCAGTGTTTATACAAACAACGCTTAAAGTCCAAGTCGCACAGCTCTTTATCGCTATTGCAGGTGTCGTAGCAAATGTCGTGCGCATTGCAGCATGGCTCCATTTCGGCAGCGGGAAGGTATTCAGTACTGATTCTCAAGCCTAACGAACCGCAACCATCAGCGGTGGGCACATAGAATTTATTTTGCACGGGCCGCGGCGCTAAAAGACAAGAATCACACGTCAGTGTAAGGCTATTCGATTTACATAATAAGTATGTATGTGTTTTTGCGTCAAATGCTTACCCGTGCCACCGTCAGCGGGCGCCGGGCACTGAAACACGCAGTTTTCCTCGACGGCTGCATCAAAAACCTCATGCACGGTGCGAAACTTGCGAACAATCGTGATGAAATTCTTAAAAACGTCACCAAAGATTGCCTCCGCCGCTATGATCGCATCCCGTAGATGAACAATTGTGCTAGATCCGTATCCAGAATATGCGTATGTCAGAAATGTAAGCACATAAATGGCCACCTTCATCCAGGAAAACTGCATGCTTTCGACTCTCCTACTGCGTGCGTGCCAAATTTCAACGAATATATTACGACTACGTGTTTACTAGTTGTAAATGAACTATTCCGAATATTTGGATGCTGCAAACAGCTGTAGCTGCAGCAGCTGCAACAGCTGCAGTCAGCTGTTTGTAAGAATATTTGACCGATTTTCTTGGCTGGTCACACTGTTGTACCACAAATAACAACAAACCGGCTGTCTTTGCGTAATTTATGAAGAACTAAAATTTGTGCGTTGTCCTAAATAAAATAATGATTTCTTTTCAACTAAAACGCACACTGCGTGCCTTAACAACTAATTATGTGCGTCAGTTTGCTAATCAGCCACCAACAACGTCCATAATCTCCAACGATACAGAGCAACCCATCGAGCTGCCACCCTATACGGAGGAGCAGCGTAGGCTAATACTGGATGTTATCAATGGGAACGGCATTGATCAACTTCTAAGGTTTTCGTCACCTGAATACCTCAAAGTACCTTGTTAACTATGTTTAACTTGTAGATATGACATAACAAAGGCACGCGCAAACAAACTGCACAACTGGAAAGCACGCAATGGTCCATTGCGTGAACTTAGCGATATTCTATATGTGGAGGGTTTCGGATTAAAGGTGGCAACCAAGTTTTACAAGAGTCTGCTGGAACCAGCGCCGAGTACCCAGAGCAGCGTCAAAACTCAAAAAGCTCCACGCACGGCGCCATTTATAACGCCCGCTTTGGATGAGCAGCAGCGTCAGGGTATTATGTCCAGTGTGGGAGTGCGCATTGGTGTGACGAGTGTTAGTTGGGCGCGACTGGAAATACCGGACACTAAGCATTCACCATGTGTGCTGAGCCATTGGCAGCATCACGAGATCAACGACAAGAAACTGCATTTAGCCGAGCTCGTGCGTCGCTGCCTCTATGTGGCGCATCAAATTCCCCAGGCAGACTGCTATATAATGGAGAATCCGCAAATGGCGCAGCCCAGTAGTAATCCCGGCAGCATTGACCAGCAGAATGTGAACATCCAGAAGGCACAAGTCACGTCGATGCTAAGTTACGCTCTGATGGCGCGCATTGCGCCCGGCGAAAGCAGGACAAATCTCTTTTATCTGCGTCGTTTCCTCACAGCGCGATTGTTTAATCATCTGGTGGGCACAGAACGGGTTTCCTCTGAGGACACAATTCTGGGCATGTTGCGCACATATTACAATATGGAGGAGCAACTGGATCATGAGGAGCAGATTAATTTGCACAATCAAGTGCAATTTCCTTCAAATCTGCGCACTATGTACTCCAAGGCCGAGCGGTATCAACGCGAGCTTCTTAGTCAGGCTTTCCTTTTAAATTTGGCCTTTTTGCGTCTGGTTGTCCTACAGGATCCGGCGAGCATAGCGTGCGTGTCACGGAGCTCTAAGAAGCTACCCTCCCATCAGGAGTTGGAATGAAAAGCTCACATACTCTCGTTATATAAAAACTTAAATTAATTAAATTCAAATTAATGTTTTACATTTTGTATTTAAATGTAAAATCGTTTAAAAGTCTCTGCACCAGAGGACATTTGTGAATATAGAGTATTCAAGTTTCGACGAATCAGGTTTAATTTTCAGTGTTGATTTTTAATTTTTTGATGTTTTGGCATTTACGGCTTGTGGTCACACTGAAGATTTTTAGTATGATATTTTGTTTCTTCGTGGATGGACGTGTCGGCGCATTGGCGTGTTATTTATTTGATGCGACAAAAAGTTCGTAAATAAAAACCAAATTGTGATTGCATTTGAAATTCTCTGTTATTTTTTTTATATTACTGCTAGTGCGTATAAATTTCAAAACAATTCAGTTAAGGCAGCGGTCCAGTTAGATATGTTTTTATTAGTTAATTGAATCAAAAATAAAACGAAAAACGGTTTTTGTTTATTGAAGTAAATTGAGTGCCCGCTGTTTGTGTGTGTACAAAAAAAGAGCTCTTCGTTGGCGGCCTAATTGCGAATTGCACGTGCATTACCTAGTTATTTATAACATATTTCAAATTCAAGCAATTCAGCAAGTAAAAGTGAAATTTCTTCGAATGACAGCAACAAAACAATGCAAAGTGAAAGAGAAAATGAAATGCCAATAAGCAGCGTAAAAAAGGGGAAAGGGATATACAAGCAATAACTGTAAATGTTCAAATATTTGGGCACATTGCAAGCCCAAAATGAGCGCCCCCACAACAACACTGGCACTGAGCACCGACTACAGCAGCAGCAGCAGCAGCAACAACAACAACAACAACAACAACATTAACTGTACAAAAAATAACACATTCAGATATGCAAACAACATTAACATGCACATGCACAAATACAAAAAAATCATTATGGATGATTCCATGGTACACATCGGCTCAGCCTCTAGCTCCTGCTCATCCCTGGCCTCGCCACAGCTGATCAAGAGCAACAGCTATAGCGGCACAAGCACGCGTTACCCCCTCGATGCCAACGGTAGCTGTTGTGACATGGACGCCAGCGAGTGCAACCAAGCATCAGCTGCCGACGGCAACAGCTGTGCAGAGATTGCGAATGAGGAGAGCGGCGAATTGGATGCGTTTCTTATAAATCCCGCCAGCAGCGCTAGCAATCGACGCTATCAGAATCGCTCCTCCTGCACCAACTGCTTGCGTCGCAACTCCTGCTGGCTGCGCGCGCACGCCTTTATCATGCGCAACTGGTATCTCAGCTATTTGGTGCCCATTGGGCTGCTGGGCATTATTGTCATTGCCGGCTATCTAACGCGCAACTATGCCAAGGAGCTGCTCTTCTGGATCGAGACACAGAATCGCTGGCTAATCTTCGTCATCTTTATGGCGCTCTTTACACTCGTCAGCTTTCCCATTGTCGTCGGCTACCTTGTGCTGCTAATAACTGCTGGTTACCTGTTCGGCTGCTGGAGAGGCTGGCTAACGGTATTGCTCGGCGCCAACGTGGGCATAGCCATCGCCCATGCGACCATACGCAGCTGCCGGCATCGCATAGCCGTGCACAAGTAAGTAACAAAAAATGGCCAGATCCGAAAACGGGCAAGCCAGCTATTTCTTTTAATTTCGAGTTAACGATATTAATCTATGTTGAAAGGAAACTTGATCTCTTAGAGTTATGTCCTTCGGTTGAATATGCTATCAGATTAATTAATAAATTACTAAATCAACAAGATTACGTATTCCCAATTTGACAAACAAACTATATCTACTCGCTTTGCAAATTTGCCAACTTTCTTCCAAGTTCTCGCGACACTGTCATAAATGTTAACAAATTTCCGCTGGAACACTTTTATTGAAAATTCATATTTGTTTATTCGACAATTTGAAACAAAGTGTTTTTTTTTTCATACTATGACTGAATTCTACCCTCTTGCTCAATCCAGTCCAAGAAGGATGCAACTCGTGTATATACTGCTGGTTCGCCTTTTTCACACGCATAGATGCTATGCGAGGTGATGCCAATCAGCAGAGGCTTGTTAAAGGAGTCCTTCACTACAAGCGGCCCACCAGAATCTCCATTGCATGGACTTGTGCCCTTCGGCGGCATTAAGCATATGAATGAGCTTGTAAAGAATTTGCCCGGAGCTCGCTTAAGTATTTCAGCGCTGCACTCAATGTTCGACATAACTATGACATCGAGTTTTTGCAGTATGTCCGTACGTCGTCGATGAACAACTAGCAAAAAAAAAAAGAAGCTTGTTTCTTAATCCGTCTAAAATGTGGCAATTTTAAATGATTAACTCACAATCGACCAAGCCCCAGCCGCTGGCAATTGCCGCTCGATGTGAGTAGCTAGTTAGATCATCTTCGGGCAGAGCAACTGCTTGTATATAGTCATCGAATTGTAGATCGGCTGGCAGTTTGATTAGCGCAATATCGTTTATAAACGTGTTGGGATTGTACGCCTCGTGGAGCACCACATGGGAGATGTCTAGCAGCAAACGTTGTTGACCTTTTTCCTCAATATTTGTAACATTATTCGCGCCCAGATAAATATCAATGTGAGTGCTTTTAGAGGCGATTACGTAAACTGATTTAACCATTTGATATAAGAGTCTATTAGCTACTTACATATCGCCTTTTAGGCAATGGGCAGCTGTGAGAATAAGGCGCGGAGAAATTATGCTACCACCACAGGTTCTTGCCCAGCCTACAGGCACAATGAAGGCATAGAAATACACTTGATACGGCAGCTCCTTTGGCCTTGCCGCAGACCCATTGATAATTCGTTGCAGGCTCGCAGAACCCGTAGAGCTGGCAATAAATGCTACTGCGACAATTGTCAATTGCAGAACCTTTAAATGCATTGCGGAAAGTGTCTTTTCTCAGGCCAAACTCGATGGGTTTTTATAACCGACTGCAGTTATTTGCAGGTTAACTAAAATAGTGGACTTTAGGAGCCTGTCAACTAATTATCGTCTACAGTACGTTTAGAGCTCAAAAATAATAGCGTATGTGACAGATCTATTAAGATTATAGTTGACTCGCTTGCCACTTTCGCATGTGCCTGTCAAAGTAGCTGTTTGTTGACAATAACTTTAATTGCGTTCTCAATGAGTTGAGTTGAGAATAATTAGTCATATTATGGCTCAATTAACTTTCGAACTGAATCTAAGCCTGGTCGTGTCCGTCACGCTGTTAGTCATGGCTGCACTCAATTTGACGTAAATGATCCGGAAATCGATAAATATCGATCAACAGATCTGGTTTTGTGAGCATAAACCGGGGATTGGCAGAGCCAGAGGTAGGGAATTATATGTGTGGTTCTCAAATTGCCTTTGCAAGTCAACTCAACGGGGTATCTGCAAGTCGAGCACACTTGTACATGCTTATGCTTAACTCTCACAAACATATATATTTTTATATTTACGTTTGATTTTAAGCAGTTGACATTTAGTTTTTGATTCCGCACCTGTATTATTTTAATGTTGTCAGTTATGTTGCGTGTAATACCAAAATTCAAAGGTTTTCGAGCATGGGCCAGCATGCTGTTGCCTCAAAGTCAAATCTGCAACGACAATGTCTCTGGAATACTGCAGCCAGCGCCGCCCACCATCGATGCATCAGATTTTGTTAGGGAAATGCAGGCGTTGCCGTTGCCCGTGCTGCGGCAACAACAGGTGGCAACAAAGTGGACAACCGGTGACTATCTCATGGGTGATCCGCAGCGCGTTGAGGTGATGGTGCCGAAGGAGATCAATTTGCATCGTTGGCGAGTCATGGATCGACTGGATCATAACAAGGACCGAAGGCGTGGCAATACGCATGCTGTGATCGTGGCCGGTGCCCAGGCCATTCCGGGCTATCCCTTTCGCCAGAGCGCCGAGTTCCTATACGTATGCGATTGCCTGTTGCCGGGCGTGGTGCTGCTGTTGATGCGCAATCGGCAATTGGAACTGCGCACCATACTCTTTCAGCCGCTGGAGAAGGAGGAGATGGATCCCGCCCTGGCCAAGCTGGCCTGCCAGCGCTTCAATGTGGACGAGGTTTTGTCAATGCTATCCCTACGAAAGACGCTTTACCAGAGGCTGCAGCATGTCACCGCCAAACTATGGTACACCCCTGACAACAGTCCCGTGAGTCAGGCCATAAAGGACGTGGCCGATGAGCTCAAGCTGCCCATCGATTGTCCGCGTCATTTGATGCAGCATGTGCGCAGCTTCAAGACCAAGCGGGAACTGGTCGCCATAAGGCGCGCCAACTCAATAGCCGCTCAGTCGCTGCAGGAGCTGATGGCCGAGCACGACGCTCAGCATGATGACCGCCAGCTGGGTCTGATGTTCGCCCACAAGTGCCGCGAGCGACACGCCCATCTGCCGCTGCCATATGAGCCCAGGCTGGCGCCGGGCATCGGCAATGTTTGGCTAATGGATGCGTCCTGCCAGTACGCCGGCTACTATGGCGGGCTGGCCAGATATTGGTCCGTTTGTGGACGCTTTAAGCCGCCCCAGAAGATGCTCTATAACATGCTGGTCGAGATGCGCTCCAAGCTGTGCTTTCTCATTCGCACCTCCAACTCGGTTGTGCGCACGCCCCGCGAACTGCACGCAGCCTATCTTATACTGTTGGCGGAGCAGCTGCAGGAGTTGCGTGTTCTGCCCACCAATTTGATACGACAATCGGACATGTTGAAGGCAGTTGCTAGATTCAACTGTTTTTCAACTCTGGTCCGGCACGTGGGCCTGGACTATGGGGAAAGCAGCGATCAGCTGCTCAACTATCATCTGATGCCCGGCAACGTGATCTCCATGCAGCTATCCATATATATACCAAACGATTGCCTCCAGGCCTATCCGGAATTCCGTGGCGTCCTCTCCATTCTGAACGATTGCATTCATATCACCGACAGTCGCGAACTGGAGCTACTCACGGGCGATTGCGTGTCCAAGAGTCGCGATGTTGAGGAATTGCGCTGCTCCAGAAAACGCCCATTCCCAAAAAGTATGGTCAACTAAATGTGTCAACCCAGCCCAGTTACCAGTATCAATCAAAATAGAAGAGAAAGTCATTTAGATATCAAGGTGTCCAGCGGCTCTAGAGAGTGAGCTCGTGTTGCATGTGATAAGAGGATTTGTGATAAGAGAACAATAGAACAAAGACAGTAAATGCTACCAAATTTTTTGTTTGCCTGATGTTAGTTGGTATTAAAAATCGATGTATTATAAGTGTGTGTGTGTGTGTTTATATTTTTTTATAAGCGAAGGGATATATTAATAAAAAAGTTAAGAGAATGCGATAGCATATATGAATCATTGCAGTTGGGATCTCTGGCTTAAAAGTGTAAGAAATTGAAAATGTGAATATAAATCAATATACTCTCTTTGCCTTCGCGTGCAGAGTATATTGCATAACTAACTAACTTGACCTGCTAGTCCAGAAAAATACGTTAAATAATTTAATAAATATTTAAGTTCAGTTTTCGTGTAGCTACAAGCAAACCCAAATAATTCATTGCTTGGCGCTTTCCTATATATATTTATATAGATATATATATATATAAAAATGTGCCTTATCAAATTGGCTCCCGCACCCAACTCAATTGCTCTATGGTTCAATTGCTTTATCAGTCAATAAAAAAACACTTTATGGACTGTTATAAAAAGCCATTTGAGTAGAAATTACGTCGATTTCTTTGGCTGCATTGCAAAGTTTGTTGAAATAATTGCAATATGTCAATCAAATAACTATTTAGCTACATTAGAATACCCTGTTAAGGTAAATGTTGTATACAAAAATTGGTTATGTCAAATTTGTATACCCTAACGTTGTTAGCAATGGGTATATGCGAAGTTGAGCAAGCTTAAGAGATTTATACCTGCGCACTTTATTAAAAGAAATACCTATTTGAATATATTCACTGCGATCCGAAATCAGAATCTAAAGGACTTCTGGATATGTATATAAAACTGTTTGTCCTGAATGACTGACTTATTTATTGGTTTCTGCCAATTCCACCCGCATTTGTGGAAAAATGGCGAAAAACTTTTGTATGAAACTTTTTTACTTACTTTTTAACGATCGTCCTTAAAAGCTAATATCTGAAATGTTTAGCACCTAAATGTTTCACGGGCAAGGTCGGGTAATATCCGCTAGTTTGTCATAGACATGCGAAATCTCAAATACAGGGTATTTTCGACTACAGCACTCGCAACATTTGCCCATGTTGTTAACTGCCACGGAATACACCAAATAGAGAGGAAATGAGATATGGGCGTACACAAGAGTCGCATATTATTTTGTTCATAGTTCTACACAGTTTCTACATTGCAATTATAACTAATTATGATAATTATGAGCAGAAAGTATCTGCACATCGAATCGGACAAATGGTTAACAAATGAGTTAACCATAAATTAAGGCCTTGCCACTAAATGACGAAAATGTTGCCCATTAATTTGGGTATTTGGTGCTAAACTGGTTTATTGACTCGAATTGAACTCTGATTATCTGCATAAACACACACAACTCGATAATTGACAGGTGGTCAAGCAAAGTTGGGTAACGCACATCATAAAGGTGAATACTAATTAGTTAAGTGTCGTTTAGATGGGCGTATTTACTGTACCAGAGGCCCGAAAGTGGCTTGCTAGGCTAATCTAGTTTGTAGACAGTTAACGTGAAATGCAATTGAAACTGGTTTCAGTTGAGTTAAGTTTTGATTTATAGCATAACCAGCCCAAGAGTTGTTAGGGTTGTATTAAAAAATGATACTTGGTTAGATGAATTCCCATAATACAAATATGATTATAGTTGATAGAGGACTGTGCTTCTCTTGTTTCTAGTATTCTTTGTGACTAGCAGATAATTGCCTTGTTCGGGCAGCTTCTTGGAATGTTAGGGTATATTCGTTTCGGCCTGCCGATTATAGCTGTTTTCTTATTTCTTTAATTGCTTCATTTCTGCTTGTTGCTATTTTCAGACTGATCAAAAACGAGACTGGACGAGCTATACTGCGCGTTATATCTGGACCCAAGGCGTTTCGGGTGGTGCTCTTCACGCGTCTAACGCCCATACCATTCGGATTGCAGAATGTCATCTTTGGTGTAAGTCCACAATCTGCTTTTTAACTAAATATATATCTAATCGGATACAATCCCTAAGTGCACAGATATATTTAACTGCTAAAACTCTGGCGAGTATCGAATGCTTGAACTTGCGCATTGTTTCGCCTTTGACCTGGGCCGCCTTCCAGCTCGCGATTATCTTTACAACTTTCAGTTTAATTTTTACTGGCGACTATCAGTCAGGGCCGCACATATGTCTATACTTAATGCGTATACTTTATGTACTCGCATATATACCAAGTATATATAGGCACAATCGGCACAGTCAAGCGTCTGTTTGCATCTGTGTGGCGCTTATTTTCGTGTGTATATAAGTATTTATTCAGTTATTCTGATGTTTACGTATTGGGAATGCGTCCAACAGAGAAGTTTCTCACATGTCTCACATATAGAGAGTAGGGCGTTCGAATTACGTAAAGCTCCAAGTTTATTTAAGTTTCAAAGTGCTTCGCTCGTCACAAAGTGAAATAGTCACACTTTATAATGAGGCATTAGTCACATTCACGCTGATTTCTCACAAGAACAACAACTGCTGTTGCCAAGCATAATAAATAATAATAATTAAAGTCCAGCTGAAAGGTAGCTGAAAACATTGAACCTGAAATTGTACAAAACTGGTTTTGCTAAATCTTCAAATGCAGCACAATTTCTAAAGTAAATAAAAACAAAACAAACTCAATAACTGTAAAGCGTTAACTCGCTTTAAATTGAATAATATTTTTTTGAGTGAAATGCGACAATAATTTCTTCATAAATTTCAATTTGGTTAAAGCATTGTTGTTTTCTCGCAAAGTAAATTGCACAAAACCGCCAATTATCCACAGCTGCGAGTGGAATCTCAAAAATTGCTGAAATCACTTTAATTTAAAGCTTTCAAAGTTAGTTTGGAGTCGACTTAGAATACCTTTGGACTTCAGCAAAAATGTTGAAGAGATTCAATGGCTAGAAACTAGATATGTAAGCCTTCAGGCTGAGGGCCAATATCTGATTAGATTAGGGTTCGGTCAGATTGGAAACCCGGGCGCGATTCGATTTGTTCCTAGCCTATTAACACACTCTGAATGCTTTTTTCTTTACAGATCAGTTCGATTAAGGCGCGGGACTATCATCTGGCCACATTTCTGGGCCTGTTGCCTGCCCAAACCATAAATGTTTACCTCGGCTCCACGCTGCGCTCCATGCACGAGGTGCTCAATGATCACAATACCAAATTGACGGGCTACATTAGCTTCGTGATCGAGGTGAGCTGCTCTCTAGTACATATGTATATATATATATATATATATTGGTTAAACTTGTGTAACACGCTTTGCAACCATTTTGTTTGGCTTGCTAAGACTTATTGATTTTTGTTTGCCTTGCACCTGCCGCTAACAAGCCAAATTAAGTTTACAATTTGCCAGGGCTTGTTTTGATGGTTGATTGCGCAAAGTGCATTAGTTCGCCTCTTGCCCTTTTATTGTGCTTTAATTTCAGTCTTAAGGATGAGGAAATGCTTTTTGCTTTGTTTACTATTTCTCTGTTTCACAATGGGATTGACATTTTCAGACATTTTCCATAAGAATTCGATAAGAATTTTCTAATATTCGCACAGCGCCTAAAAGTATGCAATGCTTTCCTATTTTACCTTAATCTACTCTTACTAAATACTTTAATTTATAAGCAAATTATGTAATGTGAAGAAAACAAGCTTATAGTTTTAGTTTGTATTATAAACATAAGTTCTAGTTAATTTAATTTTCTTTTTATAAACCTAAGGTAATTTGTGGTCTCGCGCTGATGTTTTGGGTGGTGCACAAGGCGCGCAAGGAGCTGTCCGAAACGTTGCTCTCGTCGGACTACATCAATGATGGCAAACCCATTGATATACAGGTCTAGCCAACGGAGATCGGGCTCCTGCCTCAGCCGGAAGTGACAACGCCCGCTGACGATGGCGTCTTCTGATTCGAATAGGAATTGTGTTAAATAGTGCTAAGATATAGTTTGCATATGCAAAGTGAATTAAATTATTGTTAACTAATTAAATTAGAAATTTAGAATCAAACAAAAGAAACATACCAAATTCTAAATGCATTGTCGCAAATACTTGCGAGAGTTTAACTAGTGTACAGTCTTTGCCAAAACAGAATCGAACTCTCTTAAATGAAAATGCTGTGCCTAAAATATCTATATACAACATATATATATATATATATATACAATTTTAAAATTGATTATATTTAAGTCGAAGCCTCGCTCAGTGTCATTGGAATGTAAAATGCTCACAGTCTGCTTTTCAATTCGATGTGCGCTCTCTAAGCTCTCAAATTCTGCTCAATTATATTGATCTTATGTTAGGTAATAAATAATATATAAAATATTGTAAATTTTCACGTTTTGGAATGTCAGTGAGTGCCACGATTTCTGGTTGTTATTGTTCTCCAGCTGCGTGGCCTTTTGTTCATGTGCTCCACGAAAACTGTTTCTAAAATATGCAAAGCGAATTCCACATCCTCGTAACTGAGGCACAGGGGCGGCCTAAAGCTGAGCACCTATATAAATAAAGTAAAGTCAATTGTTAGAGAATTAATTAAACAACGTTTGGAATATAATTATAGGATTATACATACTTGAAGTTAGGAAACTTGCGTATGAGCATGAGTTAGGAAAATATACCCAAAGTGCTTACGAATTAGATCATGGTGTTTGAAAATGCTGTGCATATTTTACTTATATGATATGTTAACGATATTCTAACACGCATTCTAAATAGACGAAGTCGAGGTATATATATTGGAAAATCGAACCAGTTTTAAGATATTTACGGTACAAGTCTTCAATTTGTTCTTTATTACGTATATGTATTTGAACGTTAAGCTATTCTATAAATGCATTCTCAAATGGCAACGTCTCTTCCTCTAGTTAATTGCCGATTTCAATCTGAATTTCGATATCTATTTCTGCTTGGCCAATGTGTCCGCTATGGCTCGGCCGAGAACATCCACGGCGAACCTGACATCGGTGCGGTTAATGCACATGGGCGGCTTTATGCGCAGCACCTGCAAAGAATTGTGGGTACAACATTCGATACAGAGATGCATGGAGATAGGGATAGGAACAGA